TATCTAATAACACAATGAAAGGTTTCCACAAATTACTTGCTACAGGTAAAGTATGATGTTAGGTAACGCTATGCAAAGCAGGATATGCACTTCAAAGCAGGACACTTCCAGGTCTGTGCCTGGGTTATAATCTTCCAGCTTGTGATGCCAGTGCTTGTTGGATACAAAATCCTTTGCCTAGCAACTGGTTTGTACTACCAAGCTCAAGCACCCCAACTGTACACTGCAACTAAAGTGACAGCAAATCCAGCATGATTTTGAAAGTTTAACATCCTCACATCAAAATTCAAGGGGCCTGCATCTATTGAGTTTCCTCCCTTCTGCAGTCATGTGAAACAATTCTATACAGACACACTGTTCTCTTTCCCATCCAAATTCTCTTTGCTTCATTTATTCCACTGTCACATTCCCATTATTAATCTCCCTACTGTGACCCTCCATAGACTAACCAGTTCACACCAGAGAAACATTTATGTACAAAATCCCAGTTTTCAGCCACTTGGCAACTAGTTCTCTCCAAAGCAGGGAAACATTCTAAGACTGTTATAGTTGTCTCCCTGCCTGAAAGAAGGGCTTTTGTTTTCTCTCTTTCTACACCTGCAATGCACAAAATTCAGGAAGAATGAAATTCCTATATCACACCAAAAGACCCTTCCAGTTTAGAGCATCTGTATTTCATGGGTGGGACTTAAAAAAAAAAAACCCAGCTGAAATCAAACTGTGAAAAGAGGGAGATTCTGGTGAGCAGGTAGAAGGGACCTGCCATGCCAAATCATCACTCTGCAATGCAGTACTAGTTTCACATTTAAGAACAGCATATGGGATATGACCACCACTTCAATGTAATTAAGTCATTAAAGAAAAAAAACCTGCCATCCTAGCAATTATGGTTTAGACTGCCCCTAAAACACACATCAGTACCAAAATGCCTCGAGTAGCTTTCACATGTATTAGCTGTATGATAATTTCTATCTTTTTCTCTTCAACAAGTATTCATTTGTTTCCAGCCTGAATATATTTAATTGTGTACAGGAGTACACAGTAGCAACAGGAGCTTAATCTGTCCCTATGACTGGGAAATACTTTATACCCTTTCAGGGAAGAACAGTTCAGAGGAAGCCACTCAGAAGTTGCTATCTTAAAGCAGAACTTTCTTCATTGACATCTCCCCTAACCTCTTTTGACTTGAATACTGAGAACTGTCATCCTAAAATGTTATAAACCTCATAACTATGAAACACCTTAGCATGAAGACTGGACAAATAACACGTTTAGGATAGGGTGCAACTTAGTTGAAGAGGATACTGTGAAAAACCAATCAGTATTTGCAGTTTCTTCCTTCTTTAAACCACCTTGGTTTCCTCCAAGGATTTTTATGTGTAAAAACAGGTATTATATTACACCTTGCTGTAAAAGGTCAGATGAGAACACTAACAAGAAGGGCAGAAATAAAATTATCAGTAGGTATCATCCTTAGTCTTTGGAATATTTGCAGCTACAGCAGCTCCAAGTTTACCCTTCTGTATGTTAAAACTGTACAGCGTGTTAAGATTAAGACCTTTTAAGATTTCCTAGGTATCTTGGAAGTATGTGAGAGCTAGTTCTTGCTAGTGCTGATGCCCGTATCAAAGACAGGTGAAATGCCCCTACAGCCTCCAGCTAAACTCCAGAAGCCAGAAGAGAAGGTGTTTCGCATATGTAAGTAAAATCTCTTGCTGGCCAGTTTGCAGAAACAAAATTTTATTTACACAGGCAAGTCTATCTTTAGACTCCCACTGAACTCTTTACATTTCTAGAATATTTACATGATTTCAAGATGCTCCAAGTGATGAACAAAACAAAAAAAAAAGATTACAGAAAATGCCAAAAACATAGCCAAAAAAACCCCCCAACCTATCATTGTGCTTTAAAAATTATGATCTAGAGTAATGTAGAAGAAATGTAGTTTTAGCACCTTGGTCATAACGGTCATGCTATATAAGACACTTAAATAGCAGAGGGGATGTCAGAAGTGACCGTATCCAGAGGTTGCCAGTGACAATTCATGAGGGCATCATAGAGTTCTTCACTTGTCTCCATAAATTGTCTGTTCATTTCATCAACATCCAAGTACAGCTGTGGATCTGAAAATAAAAGCCTGGTAAGTACAAGTGTCAGAACTTGGGAGGCTTGCACATGAAAACCTGAAGTAAATGCCTAATATAGTGTACTTTAGGTAAATTTAATGATTTAGCAAACTTAATAATACACCTAGTGAGATGTTTATTCACATACAATTTTAATAAAGCTAACAAGTCCAGCTCCTTTTGGAATTAGTGTAGTCAAATGCTAGGACTGTACTGGTATTCTCACATGAAGCAGATACTTTGGGATAATTAAAATTTTTGGACACTATTACAAGACATCTCTACTAATGAGCTTAACATAAAATAATCTTAGCAGAATCAATACAAAGATTAAGCACCTTCTCCAACAGACCATTCTGGAAGGAGAATGAAGACAAGCTAAAAGAAGCCTACTTCAAAGCACTGTTGACAGTGTCCCATTATACGTGACGTGGTATATGCCATTAGCTTTAAAATCCTACTTCATCTTAGCTGTAACCCATTCTTTATCCAATAGTCACCGGGCAGAAGTACGGCTAAATTCAAGGTGCAGTGATAGAATTACCATTACCTTCAGTTATTAGGTCATCATTGATTTCAGTCACAGCTGAAGCTTCCTAAAAAAAAAAAAAAAAGTATTCATAGTCAGGTTCCAAGAGCATCGCAAATCCAAAATAATTTTATGCTCCCAAATATTCCCTTCTTCCCACAGCTATAAAATAAGCAGGAGCGGGAGCCATTTGTTGGGGAAGGGTTTCTTGTGGGGTGTTTGTTGCTTTTTAATGCTTTGGTTGGTTTTTTTAAGAAAACCATAGTATAATTCCACTTGAAATGCACTTCTGGAAGTTGTAAGATGATCATATCTAGGTCTGCCAGTTGATCAGTTACAATTATTCTTTACTTTTCTTTAACCAAAGTACATCAGAAAAACAGGATAAGATAAACACTGTGAAAACTTGCTATCAGAACTATTATTTGAGATTCATGAACAAATACTACTGCATAAATATCTAATTCTATAGATGCACTCAAGCACTTAAATCCAAAATGTTGAACATTACCTTCACACTTATCTGACTGCATGATTTTAGTTTTAGAACTTTTTTGCTCCGATTTAGACAATCCATATGACTTGTTAATTGTAGGGGTTTTTTTTTAATTAACTGTGTAGTATCTTTACCTCAAAAACAGCTGGAGCCATAACAGCATCTCCTAAAGAGCAGTCTCCAACAGCTTGCATGCTATCATAGGGAGTATAGGAGCTGTAGTTGTAGTCAGCATAAGGATCGTAATTCCACTGTGAATAGTAGTTCTGATAATCTTGGTAATAATCATTATAGTTGTATGACTGGTACCGCTGGAATTCTGCTTTCAGTCTGAAACATGAGAAGGTATATATACAGTTAAGGGTTTGAGACAACTGTAAACCCACTGCTGAAATTAACAATTCCACACACTTCCAAATTTATGAGGAAACTTTCCTAAACAGTTGCCGAAGTTTTATGTCACAGCACAACACCTCACATTTATATAAGGAGAGCAAATGTTCACCTCCACCAATGCCAAAAGTAATTTTTTCTATGCATTAACTCAAGTTACATTTATCTATATTCAGTTTGAATACTTTTGGTATTGTTTAAACATCCTACTGATTAAAAAAGTAAGATCAGAGACCTTTACCAAGCACTGCTTTTTTAAAGACACTTTGAACACTTAATTAGTCCTTCCAACTTTTGTTTTGTTAACACAAAATCTTGTTATTTCCAGAAAAAGGGGGTAAAGTCAGATTATCTGTTTCAGAGGAGCATCTGATACTGCCTGTAAATTTACCATGTCTACCTTCACCTTCCCAAGTTTTGACCCATGAACAGTTGCCAAAGCTTAGCTATAAGGTGAAGTCAGCACTGCTGTTATCCAGAATGAAACCAAAGCAAGAAATTACAAAACTTATTAGTTATGAAGACCAAAGGGCCAGGTATTTGTTTTCACTGCTTTCCCTCTCCTGAGCAGATTTTTCCCAGGGACAACTTCAAGTTGACTAATGACAACCATCAATGAACACAAGCAGTCTGTTCTAAAACAGATATATACTATATGGGATAAATCAGCTGCACATTCCAAGAAAATCCCCTATGCTTACACATTTCCTCACTGATTACATACAAGCAGATCTCCTGTGCTTGCAGTGTCCAATGTCCCTTTATCTCCACTTTGCTACAGAAAATTCAGATTGGGGCTTTTTGCCAAGACCACAAACTGAAGGAGCTCAGAAATCATTTCCAATGTAGTGACTTAATGACAAACTACTCTGATGGCTGGATTTTTGGATGCTGTGAGAGCATAGTACTCAGCCATTCAGAAACAGGTATAGATTAGTGGTGTGTATTTTAATACTCACACTACATTTCTGCTTCATTACTCTGAAGCTACGCATACATTCTAATAATTAGGTATTTTATTGTCTTACTACTCTAGTAAATAGATGATGTTTCATGTGTCAGTCTTCTGCTTCCATCTTCTCTCCTACATCCATCTCTGTAGGAAAGAAACACCTAAAAATACTGCTGACACTCTTCTGGATAGCAGAAGTGAGGGGAAAACTTTCATTGGGACCTCATTTTCAGAGCAAGTTAGTGAAAGCAAATCTGGACAGTTCTCTCTTGGGTAAGGGCATTTCCATTCCAAAGCAATGTTGATTGGCAAAATTATCCACGGAAGAGAAGCAGAAGCTGTTATTTTTAGCCTTCTAACAGAACACACAAGCTAGCCTCATGAATATATACTGAAATTGTTTCATAGACTGTTCTATTTTTGTCTGTATTCTGGATCACAGTTTATCAAATTTGGTATCAAATCGCTAACTGGATTAAACTGACTAAGAGAACTGAGCTGGCAGAAAAAAAAAAACCCTCTCAAACCCAACCAACTTTCAATTTCCTGCTGACCTAATCACTTGAGGAGCAAAGAGTAGTATTCTACGCAAACTGTTCAAGCAACATCTTCTTTGGCTTCTTCCCCTCTATATTCTGTGTTTTTCCACTAAAGAGTTCCTTCCTCTGCCAGTCTACTTTAAAATTAACAATGTGCTACTTTGCCTAAACCAAGGGGAAAGGCCTAGAAGAAGAGCTTCCTAGCATAAAAATAAACACTTGTTGTCCCTCCTACTTCTTCAGGCACAAATATTAAATACTTACAAACACATTCAGCTTCACTACCATAAGCATTAAGGCTGGTCACAACAGCAGCTAAACCCAAGTTATACAATCTGGCTAGACTTAAGAGTTGGATTTCCCCAGCAATCCTCAAAGAGGCTGATGGATCCAGGCAGTCAAAACATAATGCTTCTTGATTTTGCATCCTGTACAGCCATTATAGCAAGGGCCATAGTCTTTACAAAGGCAGAGCTAAAAGAATCTGATTATTTAGAATTACTGTATCAATGCACAACTCATTTGTTACCTTTTAGAAATTCCTATGCTCAGCCGGATTCGTTTTCCCCCCAGACCTGGTGCATTCTGGCAGTCTTGCAGTGCCCTCATCTGATCACCTTGCTCACCAAATCTGACAAAGGCATACCCTCTACAATTTTCAAAGGGAGAAAACAAATTCTAGTATTCATAACAGTTACAAAGCCAATTAATTCAATTTCTGTCTTCATGAAAACAATAGCTACTATAGCTTCTATTACCTAAGCAACCTCCCTGGCATGTGCGCATGCACAGAAGATGCTTTCACAAAATTAAGAACTTGGGCCAGAAGCAAGACGTTTTGTTGAAAGCATTAAGATGCAACTTGCCGAAAGCCAGCAAAACAGTACATGTTAACTGCTAACTGTGTAAGTAACCAGATTATATATTTCTGCACTTAACAGAAGTTCAGTATATTCAATATATCAGTATTAACCCATTCCTACTACTCTACAGCTCCAACATTCTTTTCTAAATTTGCTCTCTCAGATTTCCTTTTTTTTAAGTTTTTTGAATTAGTCCAGTACAGCCAGTGTTTTCTGAACAACAAATTCACTTATCCCTGCTTCACCCTCTGCCTGGTCAGTGTAACTTCTACCACACTTCATTTATTAATAATAGTAATTCCATCACCCAACCCACTAAGATCTGCTAGGCCTTACACTTCTACACATAAAAAGGGAATTATTTTGTCCTCAGTACTGCACTAAGTGGACACACTGCTGTAGGTAAGCACAGATGTCCATGCAGAGCTCTCCATTCTCCCACCATCTAACCACATTCATGCAGATATGCATTTGGCTGAATTGAAGCTTAACACATTAGTTAGCTAAAACTAACCATAAAGTTTCAGAACCTCAAGGATCTATGTTGTTGAAAAATAATGCCAGAGAATAATCTCTCTTCCTGCCTCTGAAGAAAATTCAAAACCAGCTCAAATGTAAGTTCTTATATATTACTTATAGCAACAAACATACAGCATTAACACATTTTCACAGGCATTACCTGGAATATCCTAGCAGGTCTGTTGCTATTTTGCAGTCAATACAGGAAGGGTACCTCTTTAGGAAATAGTCATAGAGCTGAAAATCATCTACTTCTGGAGTCAGCTCCCCAACAAATATTGAATAATCCGGTCTTTAAAAAGATAGGAGAATCACCATTAAGTTTCAGAGTAATACAGTTCATGTCAGTATTAAAGTCCCTAACATATAAGTAAGTAGTTATTACCGGACAAATAGGGAGACAAAATATGAAGAGAGCATTAAGCAAAACTGTGTTAAGCACAGAACTGCAATGCCATCACTCCAGCAAGTTCTTAATTTCTCTGAGTCAATTCTACGATTTTTGCAAGCATTTCAACAAAGACCCATCCAAGTTTATTAAAGAATCCTTTTACAAGTTGGTTTTAGAAACTATTATTTGTTGTCTGAAGGGCAGGACATCCAAAAATACCAAGAAAAAATATTAAATTACAGCCAGAATTCAAAAAGAGCTAAGACTATTTTGACATCACATCTCAAGCAATTATGAGAGACAAACTAGGAAAAAATCTTCATTATTCAAATGGCAATACAATTCCATAAGCAGTATTTATTGTATAGGCACCAGGTAAGCCATTTCAGGATATTTAAAATAATCTAAAATAATTCACTAGTCATTAGCAATTTAAAAAGATAAAGGGTCAGAGCTGCTCCTTTCTAAAGGTCTTTACCTGGTCGTGTTAGTACTACTAGGGACAAACTCTATTCTCCCCGGTTTTATTTTGTTCTTTTTCTTCCGTTTCTTCTGCGGTGTTCTCCACCAGCTGTAGGCCTGGAGACACTCTCTTTTTTTTGCCATCAAGTCCTGCAGGGAGAAAAAAAACCCACCTTTATAGTATTTAGCCTCATTTACATTCCTCCCTCCCACTCCCCATCACCACAGGTGATTTCCCCATATTCACCTTGCCCTTGAAAGAAGCCTGGGGTCCCATTTCTCCCTCCGCCTCCCATGAGGGAAAGCAGCCTCTGGGGAAAACGCCTGGCAAAAATAACAGAGCCAAAGGATTGTATGAACAGCCATATTCCCCTGACTTGTCAAGCTGGCTAAAGGATTGACAGCTTCCTCTGGGAATTAGGGACAAACCAGATAGCCTTTTGATGCTGGCCAATCCTAAATGTTAATTAGCTTTAGGACTGGACTGTGTTCCACTTGAGCTCCAGGATGCAAAAAACCCTGCCGCAGCACAATCTGCACGATGAAGAGGCAGGGAAATTGTCACTCTTGCTTAGAGGGGATCTCCACTGTCCCTATCTCCCCTCACCTAAGAATTCTTCTTCTGTGAGATGCCTCTCCTCACTACCCAGCAGTGAGTCACTTTCCCAGGCCAGGAACAACAACAAGAGGCCGATTAATGGAATTTAAGGAGAAAGCAGACCAGGAACAGGCCGTAGCACAGCTGAGGGAAAACTCAAACCCAGATACAAGGCCAGGAAGAAAGAGGCATAAAAAGGTGCCTCTCGGTGAATTAAAAAAAAAAAAAACAACAAACAAAAGGAAAAAACTTTTTAAAAAGAAAAAAAAAACCCTAAAACCCCAAAACCCACAGCTCAAAAAAGGAGTGGGGCAACTACACAAAGGAGGAGGGGAAACAGCCTTGTTAACACCGGTTGCCTTCCTCAATGAAGATTCTGATGAACAAGGACTTCCAAAAATAAGAATGATGTTCCATAGAATTTACTTACGCAGGCTTTAATGTTCTTCCTCTATAACATCTCCACACGTATCTTATACAGAGTGTTATGCGCAAGGTTCTTCAAAAGAACTCACGCTCAAATAATGCAAACTGCAAAGCTTCATGTAATGCCCCCCAACCTGCTTGACTCGACACAATTAAGTGTCTTGAGGACAGTCACCAATTACCACATTGCCAGAAGAAATCTTAGGACTAAAAGAACATCCAACTCAGAGCAAGCTAGCTATGTCAGCTTTACATTTACTAGGAATTCCAAGTATGGTTCTGGAATCCATTTAGGCATTGCAAGCCTGTATTTCTGACTAAATTATCTTACCTGGCTTGCCATGGTTCAAACTGTCTTCTGTCCTTCTCGAACAGTGTAACTGCACAGGTTCAATTTCTTACACTCCTTCACCTGAAAAAAATGTGGGGGAGAAAAAGAAGGTGAAGGATTTTATCCTCAATATTAATTACTTTCAAGTATGTTCAGCCCACCATATGTTATTAGTTCAGAACTTAAAAAAATTAAGTTCTGACTTGTCACTGTTAAAACACTGGAGAGAAAAAGGATATATGGCCAACAAGATTACGATTAGATGTAATCTTCACTGTCCTAAACTGTAACTGTAACAGACCACAAAGTTTTCCCACTGTCCAAAGCACTAGAAAATTTTAGAGATCTTTTAAGTCCCCTATACTTTACCCTTAATTCAGAAACACCTACATGTAATAACCCAATAATCCAAAAGATTTTAACATAGTTAAAAGCAAGCCAAAGGACAGAGGTTTCAATATGTTTTGTACAACCTCCCTGGTTTCTTCCCCTTTTAGCCAAATTTAAATTTACTCGTACCACAAACTATGCAGTTGAAAACAAACAGTGGTACTTCCTATGTGCTAAAGAATATGAGAAATAAAAGCAAGATGAAGGCACAGTACAAGCAAACGTGATCTTTCTCTGCACCTTTTCTCCTCCCTCTTGCCTTTTCCACATACGCATTTCACTCATTACCATCAAACCAAAACCAGCAAATAACATTTCACTGCCATCACTAAACCAGTGGACACACTTTCCTGAAGACCTATGTATCTTTGTTGGATGACTAGGGGAAAAAGCCTAAAGAAAGGTTATTGGGATAAACAAACATAAAACAGTGCAAAAAACAAATTCATTTGCAAAAAGCTCTGCATTTACTTTCACAAAGAGGCATTCTTCACCCCTCCCAATTTTTTACATCTGGTAAATCTCCTGTGCAGATACTTGACGGCCAAAGTTGTAGTTCCCATTTCCATACAAGAATTTATGTAATGTTTTAGATCTCGGCTGATTAAATCCACAGCTACAGTATGCAATAAACAGAGAGCATCTACAATGCCTTCAAGGCTTGCCTGAAGAGTTGAGCAGTTCAGAGCACTACTTCTGAAAATGGATTACAATAACTTGACACAGGATAGCCATAAACCATAATTACAGTATTCACGCATGGTGCTATTCAAAGTAACTACGGACTTCATCCCCACATCCATCGTGAAGCCAAGAAAAAAAGTCAAGTACAAGCAGACCTAAAACACTAATACGGTTTGTGTATGCTACACTGAGCACATGCTAACTGAAAGTAATTGTGTTCACTATAAAGATTTATCAGCAGCAACTTCTTCCTCTTAAGGGTGGTCATTATTAACACAAATATCCACGTAAAAAAGTTCCTCTAACATTAGTTTTCAATAAGAAGAACCATAAACTCCTCCATGTTCTCAACACTGAAATATTGAATTTTTAATTCACAGCTGTGCAGTAACTTTTTTTTAACTTACCACTTTTCACTCATGCAGACCTAATGGAAGATGGCACACACGACAGAGTGCTCTTGTTGAAAGAGGCTATCAGGAGTCAAGTGATGTTTCTCAGTCGATTATCACCAACTTTTATGCAAAACCAGTTTTGTATGCCTCCCTGCCCAATGTTCACCTTTTCACTACAAAACAAGAACATTTTAAAAGCAATTAGAACAGCGTGTACTAATATACTTTTTTTTTTTTCACATTTGCTTTATCTACAGTCACAGCTACCTTTCATTTAAGCAGCAGGGCAGCTTCAACCTCCAGAATTCAAACTCATCTTTAATTGGATTACACACACTCCATAGCAACTTTTTATTTTATTCCACTTTCTTGCATTAGTGCGTTCATATGGGCAAGAAGGTGGGTGAAGTTGCTCACGGCCCGAATCGCCCGTGCAAACACCGCTCAACCAGGCAGCGGGCGATCCGCCCCGCTTCCTTTGGCTCCAATTTCGCTCACACCACGCCTGGGGCAGGGCGCGGGGATGAAGGAGCCCCGCAGAGCTCTTGGGGCCGGCGCGGCGACCCGGGCCGAGCCCAGGCCCGAGCCGTGACGCATTTCTCTAACCGAGCCACTCGGCACGACGGAAGAGCCGACCACAAGTGCGCCCCGCCCGGCCGCGGCCCTCCGCAAACGGCCACACTGGCGCCGGGGCCGCGCTTCCCGCTCACTGTGCTACGCGATAAAAAAATTAAGTAATGAAAAAATATAAAACGACCCGACGAAATAACAATAAAAGCCAGCAGGGCCGGGGCCGGTTCCCCGGTGCCTCGGCCCAAGCGCCTCCGGGGCCTCCGCGCCCCGCGCGCCCTGAGGGAGGCGGGGGCCCCGCGGCCCCGGGGAAGGGAAAGGGGAACACCCCGGCCCAACCCACCCCGCCTCGTTCCCAACATCCCGGTTCGCGCCCCTCTCCCCGTCAGCGGCCCCGACCCCGACCGCCGCTCCCCTCCCCCCTCGCCATCCCGGCACTAACGCCTCTCGTCCTCCCCGCCGCCATCACCGGCAGCGCCGCTTCCGCCCGCGAGGCCCCCAGCGCGGGCTGCCCGCGCGCAGCCCGGTGCCCCGCCGCCGGCGCTTCCCCCTCCGCGGCGGCTCCCGGGGACCCTCCTCACCCGCGGGGAGCGAGCGCGCCGGACGCCACGCGCGGGGCCGGCGCGGAGCGGCGCAGGCACCGCGGCGGACGGGCGGGCGGCGGAAGAGCCGGCGGGAGTGCCCGGGCGGCGCCGCGCGGTGGCGGATGGAGCTGGTGGCGGGGTGCTACGAGCAGGTGCTGCTGGGGTTCGCCACGCGGCCCGGCCAGGTAACGGGAGCGGGGGGAACGGGGGGAAGCACAGAACGGTCTGGGTTGGAAAGGACCGTGGAGGCCATTTCCTTCCACCCCCCTGCCACGGGCAGGGACATCTTCCGCGAGACCGGCGTGTTCAGAGCCCCATCCAACCTGGTCGCGAACGCCTCCGGGGAAGCGTGCGGGGGAAATACCTGCCCCGGGCGCCCCTCTGGAAGCGCGCCCCGGTACTCACCGTCTCGCCCGTTCGCAGCCGCGGTTCCGGACGCCGGCGGGGCTCTTAAAGCGCGTTGCGGGGGCGGGGCGGCCTCTCCGCGGCTCTGCCGCCAGACTCGGCCCCCTCGCGGGCCCGAAGGGCGCCCGGGAGCGGCGGAGCCTCCGGGCTGCGGCAGACGCGTGGGTGCGGGGGGCTGCGGTGCGAGGTCGCTCCTCCCGACGCGGTGCGGAGGATGGATGGGACGTGGGCTGGGGCCAGGTGGAAGGCGTGTCTGCAGCCTGCCGTGATGGAAAACGAGAGAATCCGCCTCTCTTACTCTTGTGATTTATCTCTGTGGAGAGACAGCTTCGTCTAAGCGCAGCACTGATTACAAGGGACGGTTTGCACACTTAAATCCTTTGGACTAATCTTCTAACAGCACATTAACTCAGTAAGATCCCATTATGCTTAAAGCTAAGTATAATTCCTCCTTCTGAACTCGTCACTGGTGCGGCCACACCTTGAGTGCTGTGTTCAGTTCAGGGCCCGTCAATTCAGAAAAAGCATTGAGATGCTGCAGCAGGTCCAGAGAAAGGCAATGGAGCTGCTGAAGGGTCTAGAGTACGAGTCCTGTGAGGAGTGACTGAGGGAGCTGGGGTTGTTTAGTCTGGAGAAAAGGAGGCTCAGGGGGACCTTACCACTCTCTACAACCACCTGAAAGGAAGCTGTAGCCAGGTGAGGGTTGGCCTCTTCTCTGAGGCAGCCAGTGACAGGGCAAGAGGACATGGTCTCACACTGTGCCAGCAGATGTTTAGGTTGGGCATTAGGAAGAATTTATTCATAGAAAGGGTGATTAGACATTGGAATAGGCTGCCTAGGGAGGTGGTGGAGTCACCATCCATTATAGTGTTTAAGGAAAGCCTGGAGGTGACACTCAGTGCCATGGTCTGGTTGACAGTGATATTCAGTCATGGGTTGGACATGATGATCCCGGAGGTCTTTCCCAACCTATTTGATTCTGTGATTCTGACTTTTACACATATACTTTTTCAGCTTTTGCTTTTAAAAAATAAAAGTACAGGACAATGAAGTGGAAGCTTTCTGTGGTAAGCTGGAGAAAGACCTGTTTTGCATTTTATTTACAGTCGTGGACAGTCGTTCCTGATTTTACACATCATGCCCACTCCGCCTCATTGTCAGCTGTAGCAGTAAATAACAGATATGTGGTCACTGGGAGCAGAGATGAGACAATACAAATCTATGACATGAAAAAGAGGATAGAACATGGGGCGCTGCTACAGCACAATGGTAAGGGAGCATTTCTTTGTAAAAAACCTTAATGATAAAATATTGTAGCTGGAAAACTCCCTTGCTAGAAGAAGAAAATTGATTTTTTTTTTCTAATAAGAAAAAGAGATGGTGTTGCAGCCATGATGGTGAGATCATACAAACAAGGTAAGCTTTTGAGCATAGAAGATAAAAACAATTGTTTTGGTATTAGATCACAAATATTGCTGCTGCTTTAAATTATTTGTAGTTTTAACTGGTTAAGAAGTTATGAGCCACAAATGTGCCATTTTTCTCATATCAGGATGGCTTATTTAGACCATGCCTACTCCCAGCTACTGTCTTTCCCAGTGTTTTTGTCCTGTCACAAGTGTACATGGGCCACACAAAAGAGAGTTTGTGTGTGAGAGTAGGCTGCTGCTTCCAGAGGAGCTAACCTGGTACGTTTCCCGCTGTATGTGCTGCCTGAATTACAGCTGCAAAGTACATGATGGAGTCACAGAACAGTTTGGGTTGGAGAGGATCTTTTAAAGGTCACCTAGTCCAACCCCACTGCAGTGAGCAGGGGCATCTTCAACGAGATTAGGTTACGCAGAGCCCCGTCCAATTTGGCCTTGAGTGTTTCCAAGGACGGAGTATCAACCACATGTCTGGGCAACTCTTACAGTGTATCAGCACTGTCCTTGTGAAAACACTTCCTCCTTACATCTAATCTAAATTTACCCTCTTTAGTCTAAAACAATTACCCCTTGTCCTACCACAACAGGCCCTGCTAAAAGGTTTGTCCCTATCTTTCTTCTAAGCCCCCTTCAAGTACTGGAAGGCCACAATAAGGTCTCCCTGCAGTCTCTTCCCATCTGAACAATTCCAATTCTTTCAGCCTTTTCCTGCAGGAGAGGTCATCCATCTCTCTGTTCATCTTCATGGCCCTTCCCTGGACTTGCTTCAACAGGTCCATGTCATTCTTATGCTGTGGACCTCTTGGAGCTGCAGGCAATGTTCCAGGTGGGGTCTCAGAAGAGCAGAGCAGAGGGGCAGAATCCCATTCCTCAACCTCCTGCCACGCTGCCTTTGGTGCAGCCCAGGACACATTTGGCTTTCTGGGCTGGAAGCACACATTTCTGGGTCATGTCCAGCCTCTCATCCCTCAGCAAGCCTAAGTCCCTCTCAGCAGAGCTGCCCTCAATCTGTCCATCCCCCCACCTGTGCTGATACTGGCTTGCACTGTGCTTTGTGGAACTTTGATGTTCCCATGGCCCACTACTTGAACTTGTTCATGTCCCTCAGGATGGCATCCCATCCCTCACCACTCACAGGGTTTGGTGTCATCTGTAAACTTGCTGAGTGTGCATCCTTTGTCTATATTGTCTATTGGTACAGTCATCTGTTAATGGCTGTCCAAATAAATCTGGGTCATTTGTGGCTCAGTATTGATTAACCAAAAAGATCCAGGAGCTAGACTGAGCATGGTATCAGCATTTAACTCATGTATGATACCTCTGGTGATAATGGGGAAGCAGCACGTGCAGCAAATTCAGCTGTGTGTCAGGAGCAGGGCTTTGACATGGAAGCATTCCTATCACTGATAGAAGCCCTCTGCCATGGTCTTTGAGTACTGCTGTGACAGAGAACAGACCAGATGGAGTTCAGATGTGTGTGGGTAAAGGGTGCCTGATAGAGCATATCAGAATATTGAATATAGCAAGAAAGTTTGAGGGTTTTTTGAAGAAATACTTAGAAAATAATATAGATTTTCCCAAGGTTAGGGTAGTAGCTGGCATGCCTTGATGGAAGAAGCTTTTCTGTTAAGTTGTACATTCTCTATTAATTTTTGCAATAACTGTTTGGTGTGTGCAACATTGTTAATTGTATTTCTAGGCACAATAACTTGTTTGGAGTTCTATGGGACAGCACATCTACTGAGTGGGGCTGAAGATGGACTCATTTGTATCTGGAACACAAAGAGATGGGAATGTCTGAAATCCATTAAGGCACATAAGTAAGTTTCTTAAATCTTCATATTTGCATACATTTTCATGTCTATTCTACTTGTAAATAATACATGTGACTAATGTTTTGTTTTTATCAGGGGACACGTGACATCACTTTCTATTCATCCTTCTGGGAAATTAGCTTTGTCAGTTGGAACAGATAAAACATTAAGGTAAGTCAAAACTGATGAAGGAATGCAGAGAATCATAATTCAGTAACTCTTAATACGCAACAATTCCATGTTGGGACTAGGCCATGCAACACTGATAAAACATATTTGTTATCAAATTATTCAAAGATCCATTGGTTTGTCTTCTGAAATTCTAAGTGCCAGCTGTTCATACCTTCTTCTTGTGAGCTCTGACTCTTCACTAGTCACTTGTAGATGTATAAATATATTTGCATTTTGGAAGACAATTTGCTTAAACTTTTGAAAAGTGACAGGTTTTGTTTAGTGGGATTTTTCACTTGGAGTGTTTCCATGTTGCTGTAGATACCTGTTTTAGAGCTATAAAAATGCTATTTTAATAGCACAATTTTCTATTGGCCTCCTTTTTGGCTTAGTATTGCAAATGGTAGTTTAGAAAACAAATAACACAAGTTCAACATTACAGCAATGCAATATATGCAAGTAATACATGAACTCATCATTTTCTCTTGCATTAAGAAGGCAGAAAAATGCATAGAGAGGCTTAAAAGCTTCCTTTGGGTGCCTCATGACAGCAGACTGGATTTCAGTTTCGCTGTGCTTTTTTTAACCAGAATGCATATTACCTGTTGTTGTGTTTCAGAACTTGGAATCTTGTTGAAGGACGATCAGCCTTCATCAAAAACCTGAAGCAAAGTGAGTTTATCAGTCTAAATCCACTAATGAAGTGCAATTTTATAGTTTTGTTTTTTGTGTAAAGAAAAGTTGCTGAATTAATCAAGTCAGTTAATTGCAAACTTTCACAATGTCTTTTTCACACGTGCAGGCAAGCATATGTAAGCTCTTGTCTTTAATTATAATAATTTAGCAAAAGGAAAACGTAGTACCACTAAAGTAAGTCTTTGTTTTCCTTGAAATTTGAGGTCAGAGCATTTAAATAAATGTATTTCAGCTTGTTTTTCTTTATGGGATTCTGATAATCAGAAATAAACTAATAGCATAGCTGTTTTTTCTAATTCATTTGATTTTTCACTGAATATTTTCTTAGGTCTAGGTAGAAGCTGCTTCTAAAGATTCTTACTTTTACATTCTCTGTATCAATGTGTACAGATGCACACATAATTAAATGGTCCCCTGATGGAGAGAAGTATGTGACTGTGATAACAAACAAAGTGGATATCTACAGCCTTGACACAGCTTCAATCACTGGCACCATTACAACAGAGAAGAGGATTTCTTCACTTAGATTTATTACAGTAAGTACAAAACCGAGAGGTGTTGGGGAATTTAACTGCTTTGAAACACACTTTGGAACACACTAAATTAATCACACTTGCATTTCTCTTTCCCCATTCCAAGGATTCTATCCTTGCCATAGCTGGAGATGATGAAATGATTAGGTTCTACAGCTGTGACTCTCAAAAATGCTTGTGTGAATTTAAAGCTCATGAAAACAGGTATTCTATATTTGTTTACTATTTAAATACTTAGGGCAATGCTGAGTTCTTGCTAAAGTTCTACAGCTTGTAATTTTCGGCATATTTTGCTTTTGTTTTAGTATAGAAAGTGAATATATTTTTGTGCTAAATTCCAAACAGACTTGTTTATTTTTTGTATGAGCATAAGTACTGTGCTGTCCATGCATGTTACAAAAACAATAGCATACAGAATTAAGAATATTGCTATTCTAAATTTGTGAGTGTGTTTGTGTTTAACCACTCTTTACTGAATCTGACTCTTTAGAATGCTTCAAAACAACAAACCAGTTTTATTCAGTTCAAACAATAGGAGTGTAATTATGTAT